GTGTAGGGACAGTTAATGGTACAACACTGGAATAATCCTGGGGGACCACGTAGGGTAGAAGATGCCAAGTCCAATGCAAACTCATTCATACTTTACCCCAGAAATGGTTCCCAACTCATCTACTCCCTGAACTATGCCTATGCCAGTGAGCATACTAATAGACTGAACAGACTATCAGGTTCAGTAACATAGCTTGTTTCCCATCCCAATTTTACTGGGCAGCACAGATTCCAGCCCTATATATCAATCTTGGTTTTAATACTCGAACACTGTTGGATAGCTGCTTTTGGCTACAGTGCTCCCCCACAGTCAGAAGTCAAGTCACCCCTGGGCATAGCCATAGTCCCTGCCTTCCTGAGGTACCCAGAGAGGAAGAAACACGTTTTAATCCCAGCACTAGAATGTGTGCTGTCCCTTAAAAGACATCATCTCCCCCAAGAATCTCCTGCTCCCATTCCCCCACATTTGTCTTTCCAACAGGTAAAGTCTTTGTTACACATGGAAGTCAGCAATTCTCTCTTGGCTTAGCAAGCTACCAGCCTCTTCCAACATAACACAAAAAAACTTGCAAAGACTCTTGAGTAGGGAAATCCTACAAAGAGGCATCATCTCCCATGTCAAGATACTAGGCCAGAAAGAACTTTAACAAGCACAACCATCCTTAAGTGGTCAGGATGTTGAACATCGACTGCACAGCACAGCTCTTGATGACCTTTCTAAACTGTTTGCTAGGAGTTTGCAAATCTTTGCTTACCTGAATGAACGTAGCACCCTCTACTGCTGCCTTCAGGTCTGTACAGATGCTGATGAGAGCCAACTGCTGCTCCGCAGTCAAAGCTCCTTTCAGGAAGCCCGACTCCTCCAGCTCTTTCATTTGTTTGCTGACAGAAACAACATACACAATTAAGTACTTTATCATTCTTAAGCCACCATTAATTTTTTAAAAAGCTTCTTAACAACCCAGCAGTACTTTACTATTTGCATTATCACTGCATATATTTATACTCAAAAAATATAAAGGTTTGTTTTGGTCATTTCTCTTTGCTCCCTCCATCTTGAAACATTTTTCTCCTCTTCAAGCATGGACAGCTCTTAAGATCTACTCCTAGATCCCAGCTTGTCATCACCTCAAACCTGTTTTCACTGCTGCAGGATCAGCAAGAGTTTGTTTACTCAGATTTAATGTGAGTCCCTAATATACTTCATCTAGCAACAACAAACAGTACAAAGCTACAAAGAGTAGCTCTTTTGGTACAAAGCCTCCCTGCAGGAATACTGTTTCACTGTATAGAAATAAACAAATACATTCCATACAGCCAGGAGTCCTTCCTAAAAACCCCACACACCTACACAGGTAATGACTACAGAGCAAGTGTCAGAAAATTCAAGTAGTTACTAAATTGAGTGGCCAGAGCTTGACGTGAATGCTAAGTACACACCATTGCTGGGGCTGGACACGACACCTCCTCAGAAAGTCTCTACAGTTTGAAACCCTCAAAAATCCAGAGCAAGCAAGCCATTTCCAAAACTGTTAGAAGTCACTTAGAGGAGCAATTTCCATAGAAATTAAAGGGGATTAAACTATCTGATCACAGTCAACCTAAAGCTGTTTGATGTAGCCATTATCACAGATAAATCTGTCAGTTACCTCAAGCCAGAACTCCTTTGAGCCTCTGGTTATTATTCAGCAAAATTGCTCATCCTGAAGAGGAAATTGAGCTAATGATTAGCAGCAGGGAAAAAAAAAAAAAAGAAAAAGAAAAAAGCAAATAATAGCCCTTTCTTCTCCCTACCAATCTAGTTCTGAAGCTTTGGCTTCTTTTTGGATGCCTTTTTACATGATAAATAAATTGTACTCGCCACCCAGCTGGAGGGTGGAAAAGCTGTAGCAAACAGAAGCTGCACAGCCTGGAAAAAGTTAATGTATTTTTGTACTGCACAAATCGTACAACTGCATATAGAAATAACCAGTGATCCACCATTTGTCTCCTAAGTGACTGGGGCACTGAAGCACACATGACAGTCTTCGTTAAGGGCCTTATGGGACAGTACATGTCAAATGGGCAGAACTTTATACAGTCCCAAATGATCTCCAGTTCCAGCCACACCTCAGTCCTTAATACACCTGCCCAGGCCCCAGCAAACAAAACAGCTTCCTAATGTATCTTTCTGACACCAACTCAGAGCAGCAATACCTTATCCTGGGAGCAACCCCGCTAAAAAAAAAAAAAAAAAATCAAGGCAAGAAGTACTCAGTAGCCACTTAGCAGGAGCCAAAAACCACCTAGAGCAGTTCTGCTCCTGGTTTAGCACAAGCCAGAAAAAACCAAATACCTTCAGATCACTGTGGACTTTGTACAATAAATCAAAGTATTTCCAAAAACTTGGGAGTAGGTAAGATGTCAGAGGCTCTGTTTGAAGCTGGTAAAAGGTGACCGTGCACCTTCTAAACCAGAATATGCACCTGTATTTCAAACTGAGAACAACAAAACCAACAACAACAGAAATCTATATGCATGTACACACACAGCACTAACTCCTACAAGCATTAACTTTCTCCTCTTCAATGAACTGCTTCAGCAATTAACTCCAGATCATCATTTCTGTACTGCAATTTCTAACACTACTTCTTTATTTTTGTTAGAGCTGATCATGGTAAATGATTTTTGACTCTTAGGCAAAGCACGCCTGGGTAAACAGCTAGGCATTGCATTCTGTTTACATTGGACAAGAACTTTGAAAAAGTTCAATTCATTCTTAGCTGGAATGTGAAGCCAAGAGTCATATGCTTTTTACACACTGCTCAGGTCTGTCCTGTTTGCTTCCCTCGAGTCCCTTAGACTTGGCTTCAAAATTAGTATTCCTACCAGTTTATGCAGTCCAGAACTGATGAAAAGAGTTCCGTTAATAGCTTTCTGCCTCTTTTCTCAAATATGGATTTAGGCTCAAAACCCCAGACCTTTCCTATTCAAAGCTAAACAGGTCAGAAATTCTTTTCTATTAAGTTTTGTTTAAAAGCACTTCAAGAAAAGAAAAAAAAAAATAATGCTCAAACAGTCCCCTCCAGGCAGCACCACAAAAATAAGCAGGAAATCCATCAAGTTTCTGGATGAGTTCCCCACTTGGTTTCTTAACAACACAGCAAATGGACGGCTGGAAAGCACCGACTTCTGCCTTTGAGCAATTTGCGTGGTAAGGAATAGGAAATAGGAAGCTTCGGCTCCATTTTCCAAGCTGCCAAGGTACACCACAGCTTGCTAGGCAGGAGCTCCATCCAATAATTAAGGCTTCCAGCACACTAAAGGTGCCAGTGCTTCATCTGTGAAGAAACAGGTGCACCTAAATTAGAATATCCAAACTTCTGACTCCTTTACCCCTTGTGAGGGGAGATGGTAAGGAACCAATCATAGAATCATTTAGGTTAGGAAAGACCTTTAAGATCATCAAGTCCAGCCATTAACTTAACACTGCCAAGGCCACCACTAAACCACGTCCCTAAGCACCACATCTACACACCTTAAATATCACCATGTCCCTGGACAGCCTGTTCCCATGACTGACAACACTTTCCATGAAGAAATTTTTCCTAATATCCGATCTAAGCCTCCCTGGCGCAACCTGAGGCCGTTTCCTGCAATTCAAAAGGTCTTAACTATCCATTCATCAGAAGTTCATGTCCCAGGTGCACTTGCCTAAATCCAGGATCCTCCTCTTGCTCATACACTGTATATTGCTTTTAAAAAACAAACCCAAAATTTAAGCTTGAAGAGACCACAACAGAATTATTTCCTTTGAAGAAGAGGGTGAAGTTCTTGTTCTGTGCAATATGACACTAGTCTCATCCTCCCCAGTCCTCTGAAACTCCACTCCATGATCGGTAACTAAGGGATTCAAAAAGGCTAGAGTGACAGACTTAAGAGATCTACCTTTTATTTTTCTTCCACAAGTTTTTACAGAAGTTTGCAGCACCTGTCTCCTGTTCCATACCTTGCCTTCTCTGCCAGTGATGACCATCCTATCATTTCTGCTTCTCTGTCATAAGCCATTACACACTACACTGTACACCAAGAACACCATTTCTTAATTAACCTGGAAAATCACCATCTTCATACTTTGGAACTTAAGGCTAAACTGATTTTTCCTCCTAAACAAATCTTCCTGTTAACACCACCAATCTTCATGCTAACCATTTATTTAGATTAGTATAATTATTTAAAGCACAGAATAGGAAATACAATTTGTGCATTACTTGAATTTTGGCCTTCCCTCCCAGAAAAATTTTTTGCTGCCCGCCCCCCCCCCCCATTTATTGACATTTTGGCTCTTTTGTTCCACAAATGAATTTTAAGTCTTCCAAATGCTAAACCGTCTTTCTATTCCCCCAGGGTATTAGATTGTCCACACTTCTGTGGCAAAGCAAGGGAGTTTCCCCTGATATTTATCATACATTAAGGCATAAATCAGACTGGTTTGTACATACAGCAGTGCACCACTGACCTCTACTGGATGGCTTTTTATTCAAGGCAGCCTAGACTTCAGGGTGATCATCCCTGAGGATGACTGCAGACTGAGGTCATTGCAGCCATGTCCGTGGCACACACCACAGGAATTCGCTTTGTGATTGTATTGTGCATGCAGCTTGAAGAGTTTGACTAATACCAGTAAGGTCTTTGAAGAACGAAGAAAAATACAACTTCCTTTTAAGCCCACACTTTGTCTACCTCCAGAGTTTTACTGTTGTACCTGACTGCCTATGTCAACACTACTCTGGGAAGTAAGCCAGTATTTGCTTCAAGATAAGGTACCCAATCTATAACAACACTTCTGATCATATAAACTGCCTGGGATGCTCCTGGTTACAAATCCTATTCTAAAAGTCTTTACAGAAGGATCTTGCAAGAGATCCTAGTACTTAACTCATCTTGTTCACACCCCATTGCCTCACCTTTATCCACAGCTACTATTGGGCAGCCATAGTATTCAGCACACATTAAAGACCACTGAATCACAGATCTACTGGCCAAACCGGCAAGGAAAAAGGAGGGAAGAAAAAGACAATACCAATATTATTCTTCACGAGTTCAGCCAACCATTGTTGCAAAGACTAAGGCCATTAACCAGTCATGGCACCAGACTACTGGTGCTGCCTGATAAATGAGACAGTAGTTGGCATGGGAAAAAAAAAAACAAAACCCAAACCAGAACACTCAAACATTATCAGTCCCATGTATCTAGCCTGAGACACAACAGACCAAGCAGGCAACCAAAAGCCCCTGACACTGGGACCAGCTCACTGTTCACACAAAATGGCTAAATAGTAAGCTGCTAATACTGAGTTGCAATTAGTCATTTGAAAGTGTTAGCAACCACTTGCCATCTTCCTGCTTTCCCCAGACTGAAGGTAAGCACACAACACACCACCATGAAAACGCTATTACATATTACACATTCTTGAAAGAGCAGTAGAAGCAGGATCACAAAAGTACATATGTTTCTGTCCAGACAGGAGAGATCCAGGGCTGTCAAATGCACTTCATCCATAGCAATGGCAGTATATTAATGAACGACACATCTGCCTTTGACACAGTTTTGAAAAGGCTCAACAGAAAGAATACAGAGGAGCCAGGACGTAGCATAAGAGCATGGCAATGCAAAAAACCCAATCAAAGTTCTGAGATCTCCTAAACTTATCACACACACAAACTGTTTTCCAGCCATGGCACACTCAGGACGTCTATACTGGCATTACACAAACTGGATGCTGCAATGAGAGCAAAGATTTTGTAACGGGAAAATACAGTTACAATCATTATGTTTTTCCATGATAAATGCAAAGTTGCCAATATTGCCGAGTTTAAGTAGGGTCTGCAACTTATTACAA